CATACTGCAGGGCATTTCAACATAGTGACAGTGCAAAAAGGTAAGATTGACTGGGAGTGAATACACTGGTTGATTACGAGTTGTTGATAATTTTTACAATGATTGGGACTGGGCTGTTCTTATAGCGATCAGTACGTGCTCGTTTGGGCTGGGTGTGTGTGTGTGTGTGTGTGTAATAATAATAATAATAATAATAATAATAAACAGTTTATTAATAGAGTTGCAGCCGGTGGCTGAAAATACACAAACTTATATGTGATTTAGACATAATGATATGCGTTCAATAAATTTACAGGGCTGTACAGTACATAAATCAGGAGTTGTTTATTTTTTTAACAATAGATGGGATGGTACTATTCTTATATCTATCAGTGCGGGTTCTTATGGGCTGAATTTTGTTGTAGTGGCGGACTGCCCGAGGTGGGTGGGGGATTGCCGGTGGCAGGAGGTGGCGCTGACAAGGATGATGCAGCAGTCCACTGCCAAACCTTGCTAGTGCTTGGTGGAAGTCACTGAGGGATGGCATTTCCAGGGTGGAAAGAGCGTTGTTGTAGCCGGAGTAGTCTGCGCCGAGCATGATTCTGTAGGCCCTCTTCTGTACCTTCTCTAGCTGACGTTGTTGCATAGAGTTGAGAGAAGACGACCAGGCTGGTGACGCATACGTTAGTTTGGGGAGAATAAAGGCGTTGTAGATGGTCCTCAGCTCTAGCGTGAGTGCCCCAAGTGACCTGAGTCATCGTAGCATGCAGAGTGAGTGTGTGTGTGTGTGTGTGTGTGTGTGTGTGTGTGTGTGTGTGTGTGTGTGTGTGCACTTCGCTCTACTGAACATGTTAACTCCAACTCAACCTCTGATTCTTTTAACATACACATCTACACACCTGTATCATAATTAAACACCTGCCACACCTGAAGTAGCCATCCTGTCCTCATCATACGTTGTTTTACTGTTACACAATTAGCTATTCTCCTCCCAACTCGTCATCCAGTAATACACGATCATACAGCGAGATATATTTACTCGTCTTCCTCTATTGATCAAGATTTATTATGAGTTTACAATGAACTATATTAACTCATCCTTCTACAGTGTTTCAGGACTACTACTTGACAGTGAGATCTAGTTACTCTTGCTGTATATTTCATATTTTGTTTGACCTGATTTTAAGATATTTTCATTCACGCTTCTGAATTAGTATAGTTTTATTAGCTTAATCTAGGATATATTTATTTTCTTCTTACTGGATGTCATGACCTTATTATACTTTAAAGTTATTTCTGAAACGCTGTTAATATAAAGTGTAATTCCTGTGTTTACTGAATATAATGTTCGACAACCGCCTATTTTTTTTTAATTAAATTAAAAAAAAAATTATATGCCTCACACATCATTTTTAAAGCACTATAAAAAAAAATCTTTATTAAAAAGTCTTAATTTACCTCTCACGTCTTTATTCAGTAAAGTCAATTAACTAAAAGAGAATTGATGAATTTTTAAACAATATGTAAACGCAATTAATTAGAACAAATCTTGTTTACCTCTTCCATCCACATCAAACAATACATTTACATAAATTTCATTAAAAAAGTCGTTTACTCTCTCATCATCTATAATCAACAAACACTTTAACATAAACACCAGAACATCTTAACATAACGAACATCTCGATCTATAGTTTTTGTTATGTTACGGTGCATTACGCTTGGTTAGCTTAGCGTTAGGGTAGTTAATCACCCGGTAAAATAAGCTAAGATCTCTAATGTTCAAGGTTATTCGAGGTAAATTATGGAACTGTCACAAGTGTGGCAGCCGAGTGCAGTTAGAGAAGTAGTTCATAATTAAACCATCAGCTTCAGTTTACCTGTTGTGACACCTGGCTGAGTGTGGTGCGACGACAGCTGCTAGATGACTCGTATTGTGTTGGTCAGGTGTGTTTAGTGAAGGTCGGGTATGTGAGAGGAAGTCAGGTGTGTTTGTTATGGTTTTCTTATAATGAGTTGCATCAAAGGAAAGGTTTATAACACACACACACACACACAACACATTTTATAACGTTAACCTACAAAAAGTATCTTAATAACTTATTCCAATCCGCTAAACTACTAGTCGGTGTCATCCAAAGTGCTCGATTGTCTTTGTGTGACGTAAACTTCCAAGTAAAGCTCAAAAGGTCAAGGTTACCTGGCCATCAATCATTTGTAGACAGGTAAGGTAAATGCGGAGGAATACATTATACACAGCGACCCTCCAGACAATAGTGCGTAGAAAGAGTGATGGACTATTGACACACACACACACATACACACACATACACACAAACTAGCCCACTGAAAACCCACAATCACTCGAACACAAACACTATAACGACACGAAACACACATAAAATAACCACACACAAACACAAACTAGCACAAACTAGCCTACTGAAAGTCACAAACACCCAAATACAAACAGCATACGAACACAAACACGCACACTTTTTCCCTCGATGTTACAAAACTAGAGTCATGTTACGTTACAACACAGCAATATCACGAACTAGGTGTGTATAGGTCACCTGGCCGGGATTGACAACATGTCGCCTGCGGGAGTTAATTATTAGAGAGATTGATCACTGTGTTGGGGAAAAAAAAGAGACAGACAGACAGACAGACAGAGATATAGACAGAGACAAAGAGAGATACACATACACAGACAGACAGACAGACAGACAGACAGAAACAGAGACACACAGACAGACAGAGACAAAGACATATAGATAAACAGAAAAACAGAAAGACAGAGGGAAAGATAGACAGACTAAAAGAGAGAGAGAGAGAGAACTAAAGACAGAGAGATGAAGAAATGGAGTAAGAAAGATAAAGAAACAAACAGACACGGTGAAAGAGAGCGAGAAAAAAAGAAAAGACAGAGAAATACAAATATAGAGCTGGAGATAAAAGAGAGAGAGAGAGAGAGAAAGAGAGAGAGAGAGAGAGAGAGAGACCCCGTTATGCAGTAAGTTACCCAATGAGCGACTATGTACACAGAGGGTCGTAGCGTAACACACTAAGGAGGGTTTTAAAACGTGTCTTCTTCAGTTGACGAGGTAAACATGAGCCGATTTATATATAGCTCTACACACACACACACACACACACACACATTCATTCATATACACATACTAAACTCAGCAAGATAGGAAGGCTTCGGAAACACGAGGGAGGTTAGGCTAGGTTAGGTTAGGTTAGGTTAGGTTAGGTTAGGAGCACAGGATAAAGGAAATAAGTTCCAGCATTTCCTTTCCTCTTTGTTCAAGATAAACTCACGTGGCTTTTGTCGAGGTTCCACCAAGTGTAAATATAGAAAAAACTTTACTGTCTATATGCAGAGCTCCTGTGTAAACCTGAGTAATTCAACAGTGTGCTGATGTCTGTCTCGTCCTACTAGAAGTCGTTTAGTTTACCGTCTTTGATTATTCATTCTTTTGGGTTAGGTTAGGTAGGGTAGGTTAGGTTAGGTTAGGTTAGGTTAGGTTAGGTTAGGTTAGGTTAGGTAGGGTAGGTTAGGTTAGGTAGGTTAGGTTAGGTTAGGTTAGGTTAGGTTAGGTTAGGTTAAAGAAGTGCGCTGGTTGTGCGATCGCCTCCTGTCCCAGATGTTGCTAGTTCTTTAGTGTGTTGTAGCCACACACTCCCTGTCGGGCAAGTCGTGCCTGTAAGACTACTTTAGGTTTGGATCCAAGCCTGACATTTGGAGCTGATCCAGGTGATGAGGGAATGTCAGTCTCCATTTATTTATTATTCCATATTCCTCGTTCACTCTGCACACTCATAAATCGTTCTCATGTAATGTATAGCTGCTGTCAAGTGTAGAATTTATACTTACGTTCTCCCAATCATATTCATTAATAATTGTTGTAGTGTTAAAACTGGCTTTGTCTTCTGTGTTTTGGAGGTTTGTAATTGTTAAACCGCCTCTCTCTACCGACGACGATACCATTATCCGCACCTAACACCATCACCACAGCTATCCCCAATAACACCACAGCGACCACTATCACCACCACCATTATAACCACCACCACCACTATCACCACCACTACTACTAACAACACTATCACCATTATCCCCACTATCACCACCCACTACCACTATCACCACCACCAACCCTATCACCACCACCACCACCCCTATCACCACTATCACCCCAATCACCACCATCACTATAACCACCACCACAAACACCACTACCATCATTCCTACTGTCACCACCGCCACCACTAACACTACCAACACCACTAACACCACCACCACCACTATCACCACCACTACTATAACCACCATTACCACCACCACTATCATCACTACCATTACCACCACTACTGTCTTAGGTACCATGACCACTATCACCACCACCACTATCACCACCACCACTATCATCACTACCACCACCACCATCACCATCACCACCTCACCACCACCACCATCACCACCACCACTATCACCACCACCACTATCACCACCACCACCATCACCATCACCACCATCATCACTACCACCACCACCATCACCACCACCATTATGACCATCACCATTATCATCACTACCACCACCACCATTATGACCATCACCACCATCATCACTACCACCACCACATCATCACCATCACCACCATCATCACTACCACCACCACTATCACCATCACCACTCTCACCACCACCACTATCACCACCACCACTATCACCACCACCACTACCACCATCACCACTATCATCACTACCACCACTATGACCACCACCACTATGACCGTCACCACTACCTGTATCACTACCACCACCAGCCAGCCATCGAGGAGAGGAATTAAATACTGCTTTACACTGCTAAAGTTTAATTAAATGCCCGGGTCATTGTCTTTCTTTTTTCTCCCCATGATATGAAGTTTAATTTCACGTTATATTATTAATCCATGGAGCCTCGCCAGCTTTCGCGATCCACGAAGCCTCGTGATCTAAATCCATGGGACCTTATGATCCGTGGTGACCCATGGAGTCTCGTAATCCATGGAACCTCGTGATCCAGAGCCATGGAGCCTTGTAGTCCATGGAGTCTCGTGATCCATGGAACCTCGTGATCCAGAGCCGTAGAGCCTCGTGATCCATGGAACCTTTATCAACTTTCACTAGGTTTAAGTGAATCTGTCTGTCTGTCTGTCTGTCTGTCTGTGTAAATAGATGGTAATATTGTGTCTGTCTAAGTATAGGCGACGTTAATTGCGAGTTTATGTATATACAGGAGACGTTAACTTTTGGGATGACGTCATAACAAAGGTGTGTGTGTGTGTGTGTGTGTGTGTGTGTGTGTACAGAGGTGACCTGTTCTTGACGCGTCTGAAGAATTAATGCACTGGAGGAGGGGGACAGGTGGCCATGGGAGGAGGGAAGGGGGTGAGAACCACTACAACACACCTGAATAATTAAATGAATTACACGTCCCCTGGAGGGTGTGATGCAGGAAGGTGCAAGCAGCCTCCAGGACCTTTTGTTTTGTCACTATTTGTACTGAGTTTACTTTTTTCATTCACCATTTTCTAACTAGGATATTTTTGTGTTCAAGAGCTATAAATGGTGCTGTATGGTCTTGACTCATAAGTTATACTGAATGAATAAGGTGTTTATAAAGTCAGTGCCGTTTTCGCTTTTAAATAACTTCGTATATATCGGTAAATAAATAAATAGATAGATAGATATAACAGAAAATCACACACACAGGCAGAGACATAGACATACGTGTATAATATGAAGCGATGCCTGACAGCGTGACATTCAACTCAGGATAGTCAAGCTTACAATACACACCAAATGTTTATATTGCGCCAGTTGGACATACGTGAGTGTTATATATATGTGTATAAATAAAACGATCTATTGTGATAGTTTCGCTGTAATGGAATAAATATCAGAGGATTCCCAGTCGCCAAAAAATATGTTGATGGGAGTTCGTATATCACCTGTGTTATATTTATAGCCGGCAATATATGTTTTATATCCCATTCGTACAAATTTGTAAACACCAGAAAAAAAAAAGTTAGCAGGAATAATGTTGCCACTTCAGATATATTCCCTTTATGGCGACGCGATATGAACTACGACACAAAACGCTCTTCCAATAACCAATTTATAGACTGTAAAATGGTTGATTTATATAAGTATTAAAAAAATATTCGAAATACCGCCCCTGTAGTATATTTAGAAAATTCGATTTTTATAATTTTTAATTTTAATACGAATCCATAATTACTATATACTCTTATTTGGTATATAGATCCGGGTTATAATCTTTTTCAGGGACCATACTCCTCAAATATGACCCCTAAGGTGACGGTGTCTTACCTGTTGTTGGTGTCTTACCTGTTGAGGATGTTGAGGGGGTGGCACTGTTGAAGGAGTGGCACTGTTGAGGGGGTGGCACTGTTGAGGGAGTGGCACTGTTGAGGGGTGGCACTGTTGAGGGTGGCACTGTTGAGGGGTGGCACTGTTGAGGGGGCGGCACTGCTGAGGGAGTGGCACTGTTGAGGGGTGGCACTGTTGAGGGGGGTGGCACAGCTGAGGGGGTGGCACTGCTGAGGGGGTGGCACTGATGCACAACAATTAGGATATCACTGTAATTAACGCTACGAGCTGTGAGCGTTAATAAAGAATGAAGCGTAGTGTAACGAGCTTCATGAAGACATGTTTGACGTGGGTGAGAGACAGGTACAGACTGGGTAGACGCCAGGTACTTAAATACTGACCCACACACATTCAAGGTGCGGAAGAAGTCGGTGGAAAAACACTGTCACGTGTACAGTTATGGTTACTCACTGCCCATAGTCTAGTTACCGTGGGTGATGTAATTATATAAACATAATGTATATGGCCCACGTTTATATAAGTATTACTGTCTGTTTGACAAGGTCTAATACATTGGCACTGGTGAAGGAGTGGCACTGTTTAGGGAGTGGCACTGGTGAAGGAGTGGCACTGTTGAGGGCGTGGCACTGGTGAAGGAGTGGCACTGGTGAAGGTGTGGCACTGGTGAAGGAGTGGCACTGGTGAAGGAGTGGCACTGTTTAGGGAGTGGCACTGGTGAAGGAGTGGCACTGTTGAGGGCGTGGCACTGGTGAAGGAGTAGCACTGGTGAAGGTGTGGCACTGGTGAAGGAGTGGCACTGGTGAGGGAGTGGCACTGTTTAGGGAGTGGCACTTTGCCTCGATTGTCTAGAAAAAAAAAATATATATATTTTTATGTGTCTCTGTGTTGTGTTATTTTTTACGGCAACATTAACGACGGTCAAACAGAATTAATAATAAGAGTTGCCTTAACAATATACCTCCGCCTCCTACGTCAACAAATAAAAGAAAAAAATATAAATGTTTTAAATATCCCAACATAAAAGAAAAGACAATAAAGTAATATATTGAATATTATATAATATTATCATCACATATCGCCAGTGTCATATATAATAGATAAGTAGATAAATAAATAAGTAGGTAACAAATTGAAATAATATTAATCGTTATTATCTATCATTTGTTCCACTTATCAATAAAAGAAGAAAATACAATAATTTCAACATTGTATCACATTGAATACTGAAAAAAAAATGCCACAGAAGGGGTCTTTACATTTCACGAGTCACCTAACTGCACTATGCAATCACATAATAACTCACTAAACATCTAATTATTTCCCTTCACATCACCTGACACCTGTAAGAATCAATTAATTGTCTGTTATTTGTGTTGTCATTCAGGTGAGTTATTGATTGGTTCTGGCTAGGTAGATGAGGGCAGGTGAGTATTATTGATTGGTTCTGGCCAGGTAGATGATGCCAGGTGAGTATTATTGATTGGTTCTGGCCAGGTAGATGAGGCCAGGTGAGTATTATTGATTGGTTCTGGCCAGGTAGATGATGCCAGGTGAGTATTATTGATTGGTTCTGGCCAGGTAGATGAGGCCAGGTGAGTATTATTGATTGGTTCTGGCCAGGTAGATGAGGCCAGGTGAGTATTATTGATTGGTTCTGGCCAGGTAGATTAGGCCAGGTGAGTATTATTGATTAATTCTGCCCAGGTAGATGAGGCCAGGTAATTGAGAAAAAGTGAGAGAGGAATATAACCGAAAGAAAGACAGAGAGATGATGATAAACAAACAGAAAGATAGGAAGACAGACAGGCACACAGAAAATAAGACAGACAGACAGACAGACAGCCTTAGAAAGATAACATCATCCCAACAAATGAACACAAACTCTCAAACAAAAGCACCAAACAGAAAGAAAAACAAAAGCACATAAGGCAGGACCAAACAAAACATAACCAAAAATAAATACAAACTAACTGACAAAAAGTTAAAAAAATATATATATATTATTCCATAAAAATTTTGTCAAAACACACTTACAAAAATTTGTTCCCAATTTTTTTTGTTTTTTTATCTCCTCGTCTCCAAAAACAGTCCAGTTCTAACCCTCATTATCTCCTAGTTAAGAATTCATCAGCCCAGAAATTGGTTCACTTGTTAAAAAAAAAAAAAAAACAATAGCTGACGAAGATTTTTATCTGTTTTAGAATAGAATTTGGATAAAAAATGATAAAAAGATAATTATGGTCGGTTGATATCATTCACAAAAGTAACATGGAGCGAGTTGTGTTGTAGAGAGAGAGGGCCGTAGGAGAGAGGAAAAGATCAGTGAGAGAGAGAAGGAAAAGTGAGAGGTGTGTCAATGAATGTATGAGAGAGCTGAGAGAGAGAGAGAGTAGGGGAGACGTCATGAAGTAAGCTTATGGGATAATTCTGCAGGTTCTGCCTCTCTCTCTCTCTCTCTCTCTCTCTCTCTCTCTACCAACTAAAAATAATTTACATATAGTATCTCCCCAGCCACCCTCACCCACTGCCACTTACCCCACACTCCACCCACTCACCCCTCCACCCCTCACCCCACCTCCTCCCTCTACCCCACCTCACCCTCACCCCACCTCCACCACTCCTTACCTCCACCCACTCTACCCCCACACTCCGCCCCACACCCCCACACTCCTTGCTCTGCCCCCACCTCCACCCCTCACCCCCACCTCCACCACTCACCCCACCTCCCTTGCCTTTCTCCCACCCCTCACCCTCCACCCTCACCCCCACCTCCACCCTCCCTACATCACCCCACTCACCCCACTCTCACCCCTCCTTACCTCCACCCACTCCACCCCTCACACTTACTCACCCCACCTCCACCCACTCACCCCCACCTTCACCCACCCCCTATCTGATGCTTCTTAATATAGCATCAGTAAAGGAGGTGCTATATTACACAGGCAGAGGCAAAAGAGTCTTGTTATATTCAAATCTTTAACTTCTAGTGATTCTTTAACTCCTTTATTGATTCTTGTGTAATGATTCTTAACTTGTACAGTAATTCTTAAACTTGTGCAATGATTCTTACATGTAACTTGTACAGTAATTCTTAAACTTGTGTAATAATTCTTAACTTGTGCAATGATTCTTACATGTAACTTGTACAGTAATTCTTAAACTTGTGTAATAATTCTTAACTTTTGCAATTATTCTTACCTGTAACTTGTACGGTAATTCTTAAACTTGTGTAATAATTCTTAACTTTTGCAATGATTCTTACCTGTAACTTGTACAGTAATTCTTAAACTTGTGTAATAATTCTTAACTTGTGCAATGATTCTTACCTATAAATTGTACAATAATTCTTTAATTTGTACAATAATGTTTTAACTTGGGCAATAATTCTTAATTTGTATAATAATTTTTAACTTGTATGATAATTCTTAATTATTTTCATGCTATTTTTCTCCTATCAGTAAACCCTATTTAATAATTTGTTCCCATTCTTCACGTGTAAAAAATATCTGGGAATTATGACTTACAAATTTTCTTAAGAATTTACAAACTTATGTAAATGATTTTTTTATTTTGGTTTATTCCAATGGTGCGAGAGAATGATTTACACGTCTGTTTACATCTTTATTTACATTTTTCATTCAGGATTTTGTTAAAGAGTTTATTTAAGTTTATTTTGTAAATGTTTTTGGGGTCATTGTTTTGTCTTTTGTTTACTTACAATAGTATTTTTTTTTTTATGGACTTAAAGGAAAATAAAACGAGAAATAAATAAAGAAAAATAGGAAAACGATAAGAAAAAATATTAAGTA